CGTGGTGAGCAAAGACACGGCAATCACAGTGGGATTTTCTTCCCGTCCCGACTTGTCTAAGATACGTGTGAGGGTCGAAGATAAAATTATAACACAAGTGTGCTTCCCTCGTTGGGGAGGAAACAGGACACCACATTAGGAAACTGGGGAGACCACGTGTTGCAGAAGGGAGCATGGTCTCCGCACCCCACTCAGGCGGCACGGTGACTGCCCCGGGGACCCGGGCGGGCCAGGCGTGTGTAAGCCCACACCTAGGGCAGCCACCCAGGGCTACCCACGGGAGGCACAATACCAGATGAAGACATAGACAAATCAAAATGGAATTCTAGAAGAGTTTTAAGTAATCCACAGAAAGGCAGGGAGAAGAAGGAGAAAATGGAAAACAGGGAGAAAAAAAACCAATAACGATGGCAGACCGAAATTCACATTCAAACGACAGGACCTGGCCAAGTTCATGAAAACATGGCTCGACTGTGTGGGAACTCACTCTGAAGCGAATGGTGTCGTCGAGTGGGAAGCAGGGGTCCAGGAAAGAGGACGTGCACGCAACGATGCCGAGAAAGCAGGAGCGGCTGTGTTAGCAGGTGCAGCACACTTCGGGGGGAGACAGCCCGGGACAGCCCAGGACAGCACACAGTGGACGACAGGTCGATCCACAAGGTTCTGGAACGTGCGCGCGACGCATGCACGCAGAGCAGGGGGGCGTGTGACGCCCCGGCGGACGGGCCCACATGGCCAAACAGAGGAGGTGCCGTCGTGGTTGCAGACGCCAGCACCCCCTCCAAATGGTACAGCTGGCCGAGCAAGCAGACAGGAAGGGAGAGTGAGGCTCTGGCTTTGCCATCCCGCATCTGTCCCCGTTTCTGCGAGGCTCCGCCCCACAGGATCAGACCCCTCCTTTCAAGTGCCCTGGAGCACCCTCCGCGACAGACCGACCAGCCCCACACCCTCCTCGCTCCTGCGTTCTCTTCAAATTCGGGTGGACGCGGGCAGGCCGGGCGAGACTGGCTGGAGAGGAAGGAACCGGCCGGGTTCTGGCAGTCGGTCTGCAGGCGCCCTGCTGCTCCCCAGAGGAGGCTGCGTGTGCCCTGTGCTGACGGGATTTCTGCTGAGAGCCGAGTGCACAGTTGGGTCAGAACCCGAATGAGTGTGTGTTCCCCAAACTGCCCTGGTCATTTTTCTGGATGACCAGCTCTGTCGGTCTGGAAGGTCACGGCATTTGGGGCCGTCAGCATCATCTGCTTTGACAACATGTCACACCGCCATGGCTTCTTCAGGAGCAGTGATCTAGAGGAGGGTCGGCAGACCGCAGGCTGGTGCAGCAGGCTGCCTGCTCTTACCAATAAAGTTTTATTGGCACGCAGCCACGCCCTGCATTTGCATACTGTCTGCAGCTGCTTTCTGCCCAAATGGCAGAGCTGGCCCACGAAGCCTAAAACATTTGCTCCCTGGCCCTTTAAGAAATGTTGCTGACCTATTTTAGAATAACAAATACCAGCTCACCTTGGAATAATCTCAGAACAATGGCAGTTTTCCTGCTGCTGCAGAATCACGTGATCTGACAGCCACTGAGGCAGGCGCCTGAAGGACCAGCAGGCTGGGTGGCCATTTGGTCTGACGTCTGCTCGGAAGCCCCGGAGCCAGTGTGCCTCTCCCTGTGGCGGTCCCACACGGGGCTCTCGGGCTTGCCCATGCGTCGCTGCGCAGGGAGTGCCGGGGACACACTTTGTAAATACAACAGCCGTGACCTGCTCACGGAGCTCACCACCAGGCTCAGGCGTCCCAGGTGGGGCTGTGGAAGGAGGGGGGGCTCCTCCCTCAAAGGTGGAGCCTGGGAAATGCCCATGCCCCCACCCCCGCCAAACGCCTCCCCTCCCACACTGCTCCCAGCCCCAACTCTAGAAGAACCCACTCAGAGTCTAATCCTGGGATGGAAAACCCAGGTATGGTTTCAGTCTGTTCAAGTTCAACTAGCACAACGGGGCACTTAGGCCCCTGTGGGGCTTCCTGTTTTCAGCTGGCCCCACTTCCGACCCTGGAGCCAGTGGGAGCAGCCTGAGCTGGGTGCCACAGACCCTGTGCCTACAGATTCCTTTAGGTCCCAGACCCCGAGTACCCCCATGGCGACCCACAGAGCAACTGGGGGCTGGGTTAAGAGCCAGCTCCCTTTGCAAACCACAGGCCTGAGAAGCAGTCAAGTCCCGGCTCCAGTTTTCCCGCCCAGAGCAGGAGCGATGATAGGAAGAAACGGGGGTGGGGGTGGGGGGGTGGGGGGTGGGATCCGCTGAAATATCCTAAGTAGCCACACCCAGCTCAGTCCCCCCCCCCGGGGGGGCCCTTTCAGCTCAGGCCCCCTTCTCTGTCCTTTTAAGAGGTGGGGTTCTCAATGTCACCCTTCCCCTGCCTGTCCTCGGAGCTCCATGGTGGCCATCTGCCTGGTTTCAGGTATGGGTCCTTCCAGAGGCTGTTTTTGTATGGCCTCCACCCCTTCTCCCACCAGCCCACAGTCTGACCATGCACCTCTGGACACACCTGGGGCAGGGTTGGGGGTGGCAGCAGGGCTGGGCACCGCACTTTGCGACCGAATCATTGTCCAGTGGACAGGTGAGAGTCTGCCCTCTACCCTGGCACAGGGAACCATCCACCGGGGGCCTGATGCCTTTTGGGGTGCAGAGTTACAGGGAAGCCCGAAGAGCTGGCATGGCTGTGTCTCTACACGGTGTGGGCTTTGGGGGAACAGAGGCGAAGATCACAGGCTGCCCCCTGGGGGGAGTTGGCCAGCCTGGGCCCAGCCTCGGGGCAGGGGCAGGGGGGTGGTGCCCACCAGGAAGCCCCGTGCATCTGCACAGAAGCACCGTCAGGGTCAAGGAGCAGAGCAGAGGCCGGTCCAGGAGAGAGGGCAGCAGCAGCTGCGGGGTGAGCAGCCCACCCACACAGGCAGACTGCAGAGTGGCCGCTGCCACCCCACGAAAGGCAGAAGCCATACTAGTAGCCAGCTGAGGATGTCAAAGCAACAAACCAGCAGTGAGTGACCTCCTTCCTGGCCATCCCGCGTGGCCTCTCAGGCCTGACGTGGCCCGACCTGGAGGTGGGTACAGGCACAGCGGCTGCACTTGGGCCCCCGGAGCCTCCAGGTTCACAGGCCCGCTGCTGTGGCTTAAACTCTGTGTAGCTCAGCCTCTTCGTTTGCAAGTGGAGGCGGCTGTCCTGCAGGGACCCACCATGGCTGGCCTAGGGCTGACCCATCACATAGGACACTCGGGCAGTGTGTGGTCAGCTTTAGGCCCCAAGACCCACAGAAAAGCTCCAAAGCCCATGGCTTGGGGCCAGGCTCCGTCACCTCAGCATCGCAGAGCGAAAACTGGACATAGGGGCCGGGCGGGGGCACGTCAGGAGGCTGGACAATGACGCCCCAGGGTGACGTTTCCCCCAGAGGGGATGTCAGAAAGACCCTACAGCAGTGAACTCTCAGACACTTAGCCACAGATAAGCTCTCAGCACACAAAGCTTCTGGTGACTCAAGGCCAGAAACCAACAGGTTATGGGGCCAAGGTTACCCTTGACCTTGGCCCGACCTAGCATCCAGCTCTGCCCCACCTGCAGACCCACGATGTCAGTGTCAGAGAGCACCTGCAGCACCCACCACGCACCTGCACCCACCGAAGTGTTGAAAAGTCATCCCAAAATGTGACCTCTGCCACCCCCTCCCTCCCCCAGTGACTCACTGGCCACAAACCCGGACCAAGGTCCCCGCACCCTGCTTCTTCAGGCCAAGCAGACCAGCCCCTCACTGTCACTCCAGGCCAACAGCCTCCTGACCGCAGTTCCTGTCCCTTCTGTGCCCCTCTCCACAGAGGCCCTTTAAGACTGTGATGCTGGACAGAGCCCCCCAGGGCTTCCACGGTGCGCACGGTGAAAGGCCAGGCCCCCACCTCAGCCCCTGCGAAGGCCTGCTTCCCCTCGCCCCCGTATCCCCCTGCTGGCCGGCCCCAGGGCCTTTGCCCTGGATGTCCCTCCTGCCTGCAGCCTCTCTCCCCACAGTGCGAGGGCCTGTCCAGGTCTCTGGTCCACGCCGCCATGGAAGGGAGGGCTGCTGAGGCCCCCCGCTGCAGGCGCTCCTCCTCACACATGCCTGCCTGCGTGTGTCCCTTTGGTGGGAAATGCGCCACTGGGCTGGGACTTTGTCACCGGCACTGGGCTGCACAGCTCGAGCCCTGCCAGACAGGCTTCAGTAACAACTTGGAGAGGACAAATGAATGAAACACAACACGCCCACACTCACCAGCCTGGCTTTCCCCTGCCTGGCCGCAGCCCCCTCACTGTCCAGGCCTGGCCTCTGGAATCCCCGCTCCCCAGGGTCACATGATGTTTCTGGGACATGCCTCTGCCCACTCCTCTGCCACGGCTCTGCGGCTCTGCACAGCCTGCCCTTGGTGTGTGCACTCAGCCACCGTACAGCGTGCCCGGGGCTGTGGCAGCCTTTCCTTTTTTAATCTAAATGACACTTCTCCAAACCAGCCCGGCACATCCAGGACAGAAGGTCAGGGCCCTCCACTTTTCCCCAGAAGGAGCCCTGGACCTTCCCAGACAGACTCTGGGCTCCGGATCCCCCAAAGCGAAACCTCTGCCTCGGTGTTAAACTAAGAAACTGGAGCCGACAGCACCCCCTCGGGATCCTCCCATCAGCCTCTCGGGACAGTGCCCTTCAGATACCTATGGGCTGGTCCTGGGGATGCGGCACCAGGGACACCTCTGCCACATGCCGACCTTTCGCCTCGCCCTCCTGGATCACACCCCACTGCCCTCCCAGTGGATAAGCCAAGCTCGCTCTTTGTCACCCGTCCCGCGAATGTTATTGTCACTCTGTCCCCTCAGTGAACACACTCTCCGAGCCCTGCCAGAGGCCTCCCAGACCCGCACCGCTTCCCGGGCCCCCTCCCTCCCCATCCGGCGCGCCCCGGGGACTCGGGCCGAGCCGCGGGCCGGCGGCGAACACTCACCCTCGCCGGGGATGCCGGCTCCGGGCCCGGGGCTGGGCCACCAGCGCAGCAGCGCCCGCGCCGGGTCCAGGCTCACGGCGCAGCGCTGTCGCTTCACCCACAGCACCGAGAGCAGCGGCTCGGCGGCCCCCATCGCGCCAGCCCTGGGCGCCGGCTCCGCCAGGCTGGGACGCGGACGCCGAGGGGCGCGGACGCCGAGGGGCGCGGGACCGTTAGCGGCCCCTGGAGCCCGGCCGGGTCGAGGCGGCTGCGGCCGCAGCGGCGGCGGCTCGAGGCGGGCGGGGCGCGTGGCAGGCGGCGCTGCGTCACCTCGTACGCACGGCGGCCGCGGGGCGGGTGGGGGCGGAGGGGACCTTGGGGGACCGGGTGCGGCGATACGAGGGGTCTCGCGGGGACCCGAGGACAGGTCGGGTCCAGGCAGATCCGCGCTGGGAGGACCAGGCGCTGCCCCCGCGCAGCCGCGAGGCTCCGGCTCAGGAGGAGGCGGTTCCCCTTTGCAGCCTTATCTAGGGTCTCAGCAGCGCCCCCGCGGCGGGTCGCAGTGGTGGGCGGGGCCTCCGGCGGCGCGGAAACGCTGCGCGTGGAGTCTTGCGGAGGCGGCCGGCGGCCAGGGGCCTGGGGCGGGGCGGGGCTCCGCCAGTGGGCACCCACGCCAGTGTCGATGCGGCGACCAGGGGTGGCACGTGACGTGAGGTGTCGGGTCCCTTCTCGAGCTGGGCCGGCCCTGCCATCCTCAAGCACCCGCGGGAGTTGTGGGCCCTCGCACACGCAGCGTGGACATGCCGCCTTCTCCTCTGCTGGAGACCCATCCTGGCAACTGCACTGCCTGAGGAGGCGCGGGGGGGGGGGTGCGGCGTCCTCACTGCTTGTGGGGACCGTTTCAGGGCCTGGGGATTCCGCAGCAAGGGACGGAGCTGGCTTTCAAACCAGGCCGGCTGGGTCCAGGGGTCCCCACGTGTCCACACCCCCAGGCCGAGGATAGATTCCACCTGAGGAGACACGTCCTGGTCCAGGGCCTGCCAGGGGAGTACTGCCCACCCGAGTGCTCTATGCATCCTCTGGGGCTGGAGGCCACAGACAGCAGCTGGGGGTCCCCCAGCCCCTGCCCTCCCCCCCCACCCCCCAGGCTGCAAGCTGGGGATGCTGGAGTGTGAGCTGCCCCGGGAAACCCCGGAGCCAAGGGCCCTGCAGGCTGCCTGGCAGTGAAGGCCACCTGGAGGAGGGTGGCTTACTCCTAGAGCCCTGGGAGAAAGTGGCGGGTGGGGTGGGGGGGCAGACAGCTGAGCCCCTCTCCTGAGCAGGCCTGAGGAGAGGAAGCTGCTGTTCTGAGCCCAGATTAAACCCTCCCCTGTCTGCAGGGGGTCATCCCTGACCACCCAGCCAAGCGGGTTGCTGCGTGGCACCCTGGTGGGGCTCCAGCCTGCCCTCGGGGTGCTCCCTGGGATGTGCCCGTTGTCCCCTGTAGCCCACGGGCCAGAGACGGTCCTGGAGTGCAGTCAGCAGAGCGCGCCTGCCCCAGCCTTATCAGAGAAGGGAGGGCACTCCTAGAAGATGAGCAACGTGCTCAAAGGCCCAGGGTTTAGAAGAAGCGAAGGTCTGGCTTCAGGGTCCCAGCCCCTGGCCTCCTGCCGCTCTCCTTGCCCACCTTAGTGTTTCCTTGGCTCCCTCGGGAGCCTTCCCTGCAGACGGCCGGAGGGCAAGCCTGGCACGGGGGGGTGGCCCATGGGCAGGCCCGAGCTGCCAGGGCCCTGTGAGTCACCCTCCCTGGGTGCCCACCCAGGGAGCAGGGCGCAGGCAGGGCTGAAGCTGGGCTGGGAGACCCAGCCCCACCCGGCGGAGCAAGGCCTGCCTGCTGTCCCTGCCGGGCAGGCCCTCCCTCCCACGCCGCTGCCCTGACACTGTGGGAACGTGGATGTGAAACTTCTCTGGACACCAGGCTGCGTGCGAGCGAGCAGGAAGGTGGGCAGCAAAGGGCTGGCTGGCGTGGGCTCAGGCACGATGGCTGTCTCCCTGCCCCGCCTCTCCGGGACCCCTCTGGGCTAGGGTCCTCTGCCCCTGCCGGGCTGTTCACTGAGAGGTCCTTCGGTGAAACACGTCGGCTCACGAAAAGCCTGTCATCTGAGTGGGGGGGCCGCAGAGGACTCTGACCACCCCCTGCCCTAGGAAGCTCTGTGGAGGGGACAGCAACTCAACTCTAAAACACCCGGGAGCCCCAAGGCAGGACCCTACACTGCTTCACTCAACAGACTCCAGCCTCAGAAGCCAGGCCCAGGGCTCTCAGTGGTGGCAGTTAGGGGTTGAGTCGTGACCCCCTAAAATTCTGTGTTGAAGCCCTCAGCCCCAGGACCTCAGCATGGGGCTGTGTTTAGAGACGGGACTCTCAAAGAGGTGACTAAGGTGGAGTGAGGTGCGGTGGGTGGGCCCTGATCCGGTCTGGCCGGGGTCCCTTTAAGAGGAAATTTGAACCCACAGACATCGGAGCCCTCGCGCACGAGGGTCGATGGCATGACGGGAGAGCGAGGTCCTCGCTCCGCAAGCCCAGGACAGAGGCTTCGGGGGAGCCGGGCCTGCCGGCACCTTGCCCCTGCCCTTCCAGCCTCTTCTGTGAACCAGATCCAGGAGGAAACAATTTCTGATAGTTAAGCCGCCCAGTTTGTGGAATTTCACAGCCCTAGTGAAGAAAACGGGCCTGGCCCCCCCGGGGGGGTGCTCTGGTTCTGGGCTCAGCGGGGAGGGGCCTGGGCGATGCAAGACCCCACGCTTCCACCTGGGGAGAAGGTGACAGTGGAGGCCGGGTTTCAGAAGACAGGCTCCCTGCAGGTGAGCCGGATGGGGGGCGGTTGGGAGGCCTCGGGCCCAGGACTCTGAGCGCAGCCCTGGGGACACGGGAGGGACCAGGCAGCTGCCGGGCCCAGCTGTGTGCAGAGGACAGTCAACTCCAGCCTTCAAAGGCCCCAGCACCCGGATGGCTTCCGGGCCTTTTGCTTACCTCGGCCCTGGCAGACACGCCTTTCCCACGCCGGGCCCTGGCTGAGCGCCCTCCCCTCAGGTCTGCCAAGAAAGCCCTGCTTCGGGCAGGGCTGCCATGCCAGCCTCACAAGTCCCCACCTGTCACTGGCCCCAGTCCTCCCCAGGGCTCAGCCTGGAGCCAGGAGCTCCAATCAGTCAGGCCCTGCCACCCGTGCCTGTCCGGTCTGCAGGCCTGGGCTGCGGCCCGGGTCTCTGGCCAGCTCTGACCCGCCCACTGCCGACCCAGGGCACCCCACGCTCGGGCCACCTGAACCCTGAGGTCCTGCCTAGGCACGTGGCATTGCCACCGAACACCCCCAGGTGTACCGCCCACTGGGTCAGAGAGCCCTGGCCACCGGTATGGACCCGGGCGCCAGCAGCACCCTCTCCAAGGCCTCTGACCTACTTTCCCTCTGTCTCAGGAGGCCCTGGCCTCGTTCGTGGTGACACCTGCCTACCTACCCGCCCCGGCCTGCTCCCCACATGGTTGGCCACACGCCTCCGGGGCACCGGGGGCTGTCCTGCCTGACCTGCTCCTGCCCCGCCCAGACTCAACTCCCAGGCTCAGAGGCCAGACCTGCTTGCCTGGGCGAGCCCCAGCCCAGGCAGGGTGGAGGGGGGCCCTCTGGTGGGGGCCATGAGTGGGGCTACCCAAAAACAATTCCACGGGTGGCCAGGGACCGGGGCTACTGGCACCTCTGGTGCCGTGGGCGGCACTGCACCCAGGGAAGGGCCCCCAAGGCTGTTCTTGCCTTGGGGCTGGACCCTGTGGGTCCCAGGCCTGTCCCAGTGACCCCCTCTCTTGGGTCCCGACATGCTGCCGACCACTGTGCTCAGTACCGGCTCATTTGGGCCTCAGGACCAGCCTTTTTGGCACCAGGGACCGGTTCTGTGGAAGGCGGTTTTCCACAGACCGGGGGTCGGGGGTCGTTTCGGGATGACTCTAGCGCATCATGTTCCAGCTCCCTGATGGGGTGGTGCAGCCCGGTTCCTCACAGGCCCTGACCGGTACCGGCCCACGGCCCGGGGGTTGGGGACCCCGCTCCAGGCCACCTCTCTGCAACTGAGGAAGCAGCCCCGGGGCGGTGAGGAGTCCCGGTCGGGGGGGATCCAGTGTCGAGGGGTGACCTGGGCAGCGTTCTGGGTGTCCTCACCCAGTGCGGAGCAGGACGGTGGCTGTCCACGGGGCTCTGCCCGTGGGGGTCTGCCTCAGCTCCTGCCTGGGGGGGAGGGGACTCTGGGGCAGCTCGGGAGGCAGGGATATCCCCCTCCTCCACTCGGCTGGAGGGAGCTGGCTGGTGGGCTGGGGGGGCCGAGCTGCAGGCCTTGACAGAGGCAGACGGGCTGCGGGGACGCTGCCCGAGGCCCCTCCTCACAGCGGCCTCCCTGCGGGTGCAGCTCAGTGCCGGCTCTGGGACAACGCAGGGCGGCCTTGACCCCTGAAGGGGCTGGGAGCTGCCACTGTGTCCGGGCTCAGGGGCTCGGGGAGGGGTGCCCAGGGAGGCCCCCTTCCCGGGGACATCTGTGACGCAGCCCAGAGCTGGCGCGGAGGCCTCGTCCATCCTTGTTGGGGGGAGTGGTGTGTCTGGGCAGGAAGACCTGGCCTCGTGCCCAAGGCCCACGGGGTCACAGCGTAAGCCGTCACCGTCCAAAGAGCCGCCAACTGTGATTTCTAGGCCGATAAGCAGAGGCTGGATCACTCACACAATGTGTTTGTTTGTCTTTTTATATTTGAGGTCTATAAAAAAATGGAGAGGAGATAGCAAAGGCCCACGAGCCAGGTGACCTGATGTGGCCACGCGGGGCGAGGGTGGGCAGGGGCGCCAGGAGCTCCTGTTGACCAGGGGTGGGAGGCGGGCGTGTTGGGACAGGAGCGGGGGGGCGGGGCTGCATCTGGGGCCGGGCACACCTGAGAAAGCGGGGACCTGCTCCGAACAAACCCACTGAATGCAGACGACACCCTCCGGAGCGAAGGGGTGTAGGGAGGAGGGGCAGAGAGTCTGTGCCCCGTTCAGAAGTCTCATGGCGTGAACGAGGGGGATTGTACTGAGTCCAAAATGACACCCAGAAAAAGGAAGAAGAAAAACCAGTGGCAACAGCTTAAACCGCAGGCTGGTCTGGGAGGGTCGCTGTCACCGGCTTCTGGGGAAGGAGACAGGCCGTGCTGAGAAGGCCGTTGGCCGGCGGTGGAGGCCAGAGGACTCAGCGTGGGAGGGCCGGCGGGGAGGCGGGAGACTGGGAAGGAAGGACAAACAGGAAAAGGGGGGGGACCGAAGCACCAAGACCAGGGAGGGGGAAGTGATGGGACTTGAACTTTGGGCGCAGAGCTGTGCCCTGAGACAGTGCTGGCAGGGAAATCGGAGCCAGCCTGGAGCAGCTGGCTTTGCCCCGTCACAGATGGGGAAACTGAGGCCGGAGAGGGGCAGCGGCCTCCGAGGAAGTGTGGGAATGCGGTGGGTCCTGGGACTCTCGCTCCCCGAGCCCTCCCGGGTGCCAGGTCCATCCCAGGCAGGGACCGAGTCCGAGGGCAGGGTGGCCGAGGGCTCCCGCGTGGAGTTCACGGTGGGCAAGACCGTCAGGCAGACCCTGGGCCCCTGCTCTGGGAGCACCTAGCAGAGTCGTGGGAAGGCCTGCTGGGGGCGGGCGTGTGTTTCCGTGGGGAAGAAGTGGGGAGCACTGGGGCACGGGGTGGGTGCCCAAGGCAGTAATTACTGCTCTCCCGGGAGAAGGTGTTACAGAATGTGCAGCTGGGAAACTGGACCCTCCTTCAACCGCCACCCTGCTCTGTGTCAGCAGGGACCTGGCTCACAGCCTTCCTCGGGGACAACGCGGAATGTCCCCATTTTAGGGAAGAAAGGCTTGAGGCCCAAAGGCCCCGCCTGCCAATAAGGCGGGGTTGAGCTGGGCCCTGGTTTATCTGAGCCAGAACCGCCGACCCCCGCATCAGCAGGGGAGCACCCAGTCGGGTCCCTTTTCCCCAGAGACGTCCAACAAATCCTCACACAAGCAAACAAAAAGCAACGCCAGGGCCCCTTGTCAGATGCCCTGACATTCCAGGCCTTCGCTGGCGTCTGGGAGGGGCATTGAAAGGAAGGCATTTCCGCGTGCGGGCGTCACTTGCTCTTTGGTGTCAACAAAAGAAACGTCCAAATCTCTAGGAATTTTTATGAGTTTATTTGAGCCAAACTGATGGCAGTTGCCAGGAAGCAAAGTCTCCACGGACTGAGGAAATGCTCCGCAGAACGGCAGCTCTGCACCTTATTTCACACACTGCAGTCACGTGAACCCCACTGGGGACAGATTGGGGGGTCTCCGGGATTGGACAGAGACTCGGTCTTCCTGCCCATTTCTGGACAAGGCTCGGTAGCCGTGAACAGTCAACTCTATCACAGTGACGTTGGGGTTTGCGGCCCCCTCTCTGGGGGGGACGGCCCCCCACGGGTCTGGGAAGAAGAAAGGCATCCTGTGACCCCCAGTCCGTGGCGTCTCAGATGCAGGGAGACCCAGACGGGACCAGTTACGATGAAGACTGAGCTCTGCCAGGGAAGGTGCCGGCCCAGGACGCGCTGACCCGCCGGGGCCTGCTTTTGTTCAGGAAGGTTGTGTGTCACATGTCCTGTGAGGTCCCTTCCTGTCTCTGTGGGTGTAAGGCTGCCTCGCAGGCCACCCTGAGCCGGTCAGGGGCAGCGTGTGGTCTTTCCCACCCACACCGGGCTGCCAGTGCCGGTGAAGGTGACTGGGGACTTTCTCGGACAGCCCGGATCTGGGGCTCCTCACCTCCGGCACCTCACCGCCACGCCTGCTACCAGGAAGCCGCGGTGGCTGGGAGCTGGGACCCCATCGCGCCTGGACCCGTTGGAAGGATAATCAGACACCAGCAGGAAAAGGCGTCCCACCCACGTCCCGGAGCGCGTCCATCTTCCTGCGTCCCTGGGCAGCCAGAGGGACCCTTGTAAAAAGAAAAACTGGTTTGTGCAAGCCCCACCTCTCCTCCCCAGCCTTCTTCCCCTTGGGCCTCCGGCCTTCTTCCCCTTGGGCCTCCGGCCTCCAGGGGTGGCCAGGCAGGACCTCAGCTCCAGCCTTTGAACTTTCCAACTCCTCTGCTGCATACACCTGTCCCACGCCCCGAGTGGGCCCATGTCCCTTCAGTGCGGTCTCTGCTGCAGAGACAGCAACCTTCCCACCTGCTCCCCCTTTACTCCCTACACCTCCCGCCCTGTTAAAAAAGTGTTGCTTGTCACCACCACCCGGCGCTGCAGTGGGTGTCATTGTGCTTGTGCATCTCAGGTGCACTGATCGCGCTGGACTGTGAGTGTGGTGGGGCGGGGCTCCAGGTGGGGTCCCCGGGGTCTACATCACACACACACATGCACACACACACTCTCTCTCTCTCTCTCTGTCTCGTGGTAACGGTGCGTGGGTTCATCGAGGTTACGCAACAGCATGAACCACTGGGCCTCTCCGACCCCATCTCCTCCCAGCCGGCTCCGCTCCCGTG